TAAAATATAAGAAAATAACCAAAATATAATATTTTAACGCGATGAAATGAAAAAACTTTATATACTTGACTGAACGATCAAATTATATATGGTATTGTTTTCTCTATTTAACACTTTTATAGTTCAATCAAATTTTATGATCAAAATTTATATTTCCTCTGTTCCAAAGTATATTTCGTATTCGAACGTGTAAAATCTCCTTCTTTCTAAAATAGTTTTATTTACAAATTGGTATACAAAATAAAAAAATTGCATATTTAAAAATTATATCAAAAGTTTTATAAAATAAGAAGTGAGAGGTGAAAAATGTTTATTTTATCAAATTATCAATGAAAACATACAAGTTAACAAAAGTTATCGAGACGCTAACAAATATGAAATTTGATTTTTTATATATAACTTCATTTAAACATCCCATAAACAAATATGAAATTTATTAAAAGGTGCATAGAGTATCTTATTTATTGTTTTGAAATTTTCTTATAAATGAAGAGAAAAAAATATAAATTAAGAAAGAATATTATCATATAAATGAAGATCTTTTTCCCATAATTAAATTTACTCATTGATTTCAAACCAAACTATTAATTTATTGTTTTCCTTGTCACATATTATGTGGCATATTAAGTTTCAAAAATGATATGTGACAATCATAGTGAGAATATTAAAGAAGTAAAAAAGAGATTAAAATAGTCATATAAATGAAATATAATTTAAACGAATTTAAAGAAAAGAATTTTTTTTTTGTAGTATCAAAGATATTAGTGTAACTTATCAAATACTAGTATATAAATATCAAGTTTTATAAATTACCATAAACTATTTGCTTAAAATGGTCAAAATGATTATTCAAAAGTTACCACACACACACACACACACACACACACATATATATGAAGACTTTTTTATGAATAATTTTAGATTCAATTAATGCATACGATCATCATTGACATGTCAAAAAAATTCCACGTAGGCATTCCCCATGTCAAGCTTTGATGATCTCAGTATGAAATATTATATTAAAGGATTACTATCTTTGTTTCTAAATATTAATAAAATAAAATTCATATATTACCACTTCTTTTGTAGAAATATATCACAATTCAATGTATATTATTACTTTGTATTATCGACAACAACCTTTTGACCCGAGACAAATAATCAAATATAACCCTAACCCGAGACAAAAACTTTGGGGCACCTACAGTACATTTTTAATATATAATTCTTTTTATTAATTACACTCCAATGCTAGAATAAATCATACTCCAACATCAAATATTAAAAATAAGTCCAGTCAACTATTATAAAACAAAATAATTTAAATTAAGGAAAAAGGAGTAGAATATGTTCACAAATTAAATAAACTTTCCTAGCCTTTTGAAAAGTAAAGAGTCAATGTAACCCCAACATCATTATACCACAAGCTTTTTGGAAAATGAAATGAAGAACCATTATTGATTTATCTTTATTTTTAAAAAAGGGGGGTTATCTTAAAATGATTAGGCAACCAAACTGCTCCTTAGAAGACCAACATTTAAAAAAAATAAACCATGACAAATTCTACCGTCAAACAAGCCTAATTCCACAAGGTCGGTGGGCACTGGGCAACAAATTCCAACCTCGAAAAAGCAGGAAAAAATCTTTTATGACACATTCTGCAATAACTAACTAATCCTAGGGAAAAAATGTTGGAAAATGCTAGAGTTACAAACTTATACGGAGTATGTAGTAATTCACAAACTTGTTTTTTGTGGATTTTAAAATGAAATATCTTTTATTATTTGAGTACATCTTATTTTTAGGAAAAATGTTAAAAAAGTAAGTTTGTAAATTTTATGAACTGTTTATTTGTGATTCTAGCATTACTCAAAAATGTTACAAATTCATGATAGGATAATGCTAGGTTTACAAACTAAACTTACACAAAAATCACAATTTTTGCCACATCATTTATCATTTAATAAATAAAACAACTAAAAGTGAAAGACATATGCAACATCTAAGTTCTGACCATTAGCCCTAGTAAGTTAATTTTAAAATGTATGGAATAAATTTTTTTCAATATTATAAGCACTTTTAAATTTACAAGTCAAAAATGTTTCTCTGTGCTTATATTAAAGCTTGTCAAAACTGCTTATAAGCAGTTTTTAACTTACAAGTGAGTTGATGACAACATGGATGCTTCTTTGTACTTATAAAATCGTCAAAACTGCTTATAAGTCAGTAGATAACATGTTTCTCTATGCTTATAAGCTGCTTTTAAGTTAGAAAATATAAGTGGGTATTACATATTTATTTTTAAGCCTTTTTTGTTTTTCCGTTTTAACCATATTATTTATTATTTATAAATTATCCCTCATAATTTATGAATATTTTCAAATGATTTTCTACCTTTATGTCATTTTACTGTCACGAAAAAAATATTTGACTTATAAACAGATTATAAGTAAAAAAAGTGATCACCAACAAGTACTAGCACAAAGAAACATCCCTGACATGTTTATGTGTGCGTATAAGTTACTTATAAGTCAGAAAAATAAATAGGTCTTAGCTACTTATTTTAAGCTAGTTTTTTCTTTTCTTTGTTTTGACTAGATTATTTATAAAAGTGTGCCTCACCATTTATGAATATTTTCAAGTGACGTATCCATCACTTAAGTCATTTTATTTCCATGAAAGAATACTTGACTTATAAAAAGCATATAAGTTAAAAGTATTTATCAACAATGAGACAATAAGCACCATCACAAATAAATGCTTCAATATTATATTCGAACCGCTGAGAGAGTAAAAGAATGTTTAAAAAACTGACAGAGGGAGAATTTTGTATTTCCCATCTAAAAATTAATTTTTGAGTTTGATTTTTGTGGTCAAACTTTGACCGCATATTATATAAAAAATATATTAATTTTTTATATAAATTTATTATCAATCTATTAATTCTGAAATATAATTTTGAAAAAAATTAATTTTATAATATATATTAATATATAAATAGATATATTAATGGTCAAAATCTTGCATAGGAGATTTTGAAAAATCAAATGATGAGTTAGCTTTAAAATGCAGGGAGTAACATTTTTCTTCAAATCTATTCCCTTCGTGTTATATTTTTCTTTCCATTCGACCTTTTACGTTTTCCAATGCGACATTTTAATCAATAATATCTCTGTACATATAAAAACATAAATTATAAAAGTATAATATTTCAAAAGTTCATTTTTAAATGAATTTATTAATATTAAATTTATGTCATATCTTTATATATTAAATTTGAGATTTAATCTCCTAGAATTGCGAAAAGTTGCGAATCTACATAGCAACAATTTAAAAAATCACCCGCCACCTATTAAGAATTGAATGAGATGACAATTTTGATCAAAATAAGGGTGGATCCAATTTAAATCGTATACGGATTATATGTCTTATGTATAGTGTCGTTATAATTTTTTTGGACAAAAATACTCTGTACCTGAATTGGAATAAACTTGGAGAAAATATCAAAATAAAAATGCATATTTTTTAATCTTCAAAATAGGAGTTACCAAACATTAAAAGATTCATTAGTTTCAAAAAGAAGTTATTGGTAATGCATTTTTATCGAAAGACAATGTTTAATATATCAAGGTTGACATATACAAAATTGACAAGAAAAGCCAATTGAGAAGATCAATTCCCAATATAGATGGAGTATTATTGAAGTTTTCAAAACTTACATGAAATTTTATGTAATTAAGTGAGAACTAAAATTTATTTTTCTGATTAAAATTTTTATAAAATCAAATTCTAAAATAATTAAAATAATATGATAAATTATTAAGGTCAACTTCTAAAATAATAGTTACATTTTTCACATAAAATTTTAGAAAAATTATCACATAAAAATAATCACATATTCCGTACGGTATTTTACAACCAAAAGGCCAAAACTGCAGATTAGTATATTTTGACTTGTTGATTCCTTGTAGTATTATTTAGTCATCATCTGAACCCTAATTTATCTTTACAGAAAGCATGGTTGCCTGGTGGAGCGGCTTGGGTGCCTCCCCCACGCGCTGCCTTCGTCTTTGCAGCGGTGTTCGATCTACCAATTGCTGTTCTGGGCCGGGAACCAGACCCCCAGCTATTTTCTTCCCCAGGTTCAATTTTTTTTTTCTTTTTATAAATTCTGTCTGAATTTTTATGTTAAACTGTCCATTATTTGGGAAATTTTTTATTTTGGTTAGAGGGGCAGAAGCTAATTACCCTTCCGGGCATTGGACCCCGAGCATAAATTTTTCCCAAGATTCTATATTTTTTTCTTTTTCTAAATTCTCTCTGGATTTTTTTTTGTTAAACTGTCAATTATTTGGGAATTTTTTTATTTTAGTTAGAGAGGCAGAAGCTGGCAAGATTTATTCCAGGGAAAATACGAGAGTCCATGTTGCCCGGCCTACGGGGAAGAAGCTATTCAAATCCTATCCCTATGCAAATCTTTTGTGTGAACGCCCAGGTATTTGCAACATTTCTGAATAATAAAGTGAATTCTATGTTTATTATTTTACAATTAGATTGTTCACTATTTATGTTCTATTGTTTTATCTTGATACAACAACAAAAAACCCAGTTGAATCCAACAAAAATAGGGTCTTGGGAGGGTACATGTTTGCAGACCTTACCCTTACTTGATGAAATTAGAGAGACTGTTTCTAATTAACCTCAACTCGAGCAACACATATATCACAAAACAAAGTGTTGGGGTATCTATGAATACTGAATAGCAAACCACAACCAAACAAGAACACACACAAACCAGAAATCAAAACGGAGAAAAACGGAACATAAGATTTATAGTGGTTCGGTCGGCTGACCTAATCCACTTTGCAACTAGGGTTTTTATTATTCAGGTGCTCACAGAATTACAAGTACAGAGATCCCTATTTATGAAGACTAAACTAGGGTTGAAAACTTAATCCCCAAGTTAGGCCCAAGCCCACATAGAGAATTAGGGCCGGCTAAATTAAAAACCTAATTTACTGCCATAGTGCCATATGGGTCGAACCAAGACTAGGGCCGGCTACCCTTCTTGGTCGAGCCTCCACACTCAATTCGCCCAACAATCTCCCACTTGGAGGCTCGAACAACGCTCCTTAGTCTTCATCATCTGTAACTCTTGTAATCCTCATTTTCCACTAGTTGCAGCGGCCTTCTCTTCAATTATCTGAAGGCCCGTTGAAGCTCCCACTAAGCTTCAACTCATCAGTCACAACCCGTGACTCGTTCTCTTTCTCTGCTAGCTCCGAGTGTGACACATCTATCACTCTCCTGGCTTCTAAGACAAACTGAGAACCTACATTCTCCAAACCAAGCAAATTGTTAACAGGAGAAACATTCAACGCCGGAATACTAGTTTTCCTAACCCACTGTCGGATTGGGACTGAAGCATGACCTATGCTCCCACTGTCACAAAATTCCCTGACTGGTTGAACCTTCCGAGCTAGTTCATCCTGAATCTGTACTCTTTCTATGAGTTTCTCCTTTGCAAAGGTAACCCTCTTTAGCACACGAGATTCTTTGAACCGGACCTTTTCTTTTACAAAGACTGGACTTGCTCCTTGTGGAGGTATCTCGACCATATATAACGAGCCCCTTTTCTTGCCACGAGCAACAACAAGATTTCCTTTGACCACCTTCCACTGTCCACCACCAAATTTAACATCAAGACCCAAATCATCCAACTGCCCAACTGAGATAAGCATCCTCTTCAAGCTTGGAATGACTCTGACGTTTTTCAAAGTCCAAGTGGCTCCAACTGAAGTTTTCAAGTCAATATCCCCCATGCCCGTAACATCCAGAATTTCATCGTTACCAAGTCGTACCTTACCAAAGTCCCCAATCTTCAGATTCTTCATCATCTTCATG